GGTGTTTTCCTCCACTCTTCATTCTCTCTTACCCATGTATCTAATCAATTGACATTTCTATCTTCATAACATTCCTTGCATCTGGCCCCTTCTCTCTCCTCAGATAGCTACCAACTTAATTTGGTCCCATAGTACCCCTTCCAAGGATATGCTGGAGCCAACTTAAACTAGCTTTCAAGACTAGTTGCTAAATTTTCAATATGAGCATTAATGCCTCAGAAACCAGCAAATGCTACAAATTGGGGCTTAGTTTATTGTTCTGTTAATTATATGGACTTAAGAAAATGATGAAGAAAATGTAAATAATGCAGATTAAGCTTAAAAGTATGCCATGCATACTTTTTTTTTCACTAGTTTACTTCAATGGCCTTCTTAATTGCTCTTTCTGTTTCAAGTATTTCCCACCCTTAGTGAATTCTCCACATTGCTGCTCAAGTGATTTTCATTAAGTTTAGATCTAGTTGTTTCACTCTTCTGCTTAATTTATATATAGTAACTTTCTATTGCCACTAGAATAAAATGTAAACTCTGTTGTTTAAAGACCAATAAAATCTTGCCTCAACCTATCTTTCCAGCCTCATTGTACATTACTCTTTCTACTTAGTGATGCAGCCAAACTGGCCTTCCCTCTGTTCCTTACACATGACATTCCATCTCCTGGTTCCATGCCACCCTCTATGTCTGGAACATACTTCTCCCTCACCTCCACCTCATAGAATTTCTCCCTTTCTTCAAGACACAACTCAAGCCCTTCATCCTATGTGAAGACTTTCCTGATCCCCTAAACTGCTAATACTCTTCCTTTCAAATTATCTTGTTTGACTTCCTTATATTTATTCCTTTTGTGTTTGTTCTTATATATGGGTGTATATATGTACACACACACACACATATATGTGGTCTCCTCTGTTAGAATATAAAGTCCTTAGGAGTAGGGATTATTTTATTTACTGTAGTATTTCCAGCACCTAAAATAATGCCTGGAGTAGAGTAGGTGCCTAATAAATGCTGGTTAATTGATCAATGGATTGATTGACGGTTAGTAAGGACTTGGAGGGTGTAGTTATGCTATAAATCAATCATAACAAAGACTGATTAAATATGGGTAGATACTCAGTGCATAGGAAAAACCTATACAGTAGGTTACCAAACAGAAAAAACTTTCCTACCTCTGTTCTATTTTAATTTTTAGAAAGAGATTACCAAAGAACAACTAAACCTATTTCCTACAGTCAAGGGCACCTTGGGAATATGATGGTAGTCACTCTCCTGTTTTTAGGCTACTTTTGTTAGTAGCACAGATTACTAAAATTTAGCCTTTGTGGCCCTCAAGCTATTTAGGTAGTTACTGGCTGAGGGAACAGAAATGTTAAAATGAATAAGAAAAAGTAGAAAGAATAAGTAGGAAACGTGTTTTGTACAGAAGGGTTTAGCACCTTTTTCTGGGGCCACTCCCCAAACCCAACTCTAGCATTCACAGGTTTGGGGTTACTAGAAGACATTTGACTACTACTCTCAGGGTTCTAGGGGACAATTCTGAGGGGTTGTGGTTTTAGTATTTTTGTTCCTGAGCTCTTGCCCTGAGGGTTTCTTGTCAACAAACAAAAAGTTGATTAACTTTTTAAAAATAGATTTGCTAAGAAAGTGTAGCAAAAAGAGTTCCTTTCAAAATGTATGCACTTCCCTCAAAATGTAGGCACCTCCCTCAAAATGTTGGCACATTCTTCCCGTTGCACACAGAAGGTCCTTGTGGTAGAGTGAGCTCAAACTTAAGGTACAAACCTAGTGAGGCACACATGTAGAGAATGTAGGTGGGCAGAAGGGAGACTTGCAAGTCCTGGCACTGGGAGTTTGGAGTCCTCACCAAGTTCTCCCTAGGTAAAGATCCCTGCTGGCTGGACAGTGGAATTCTCTAGGTCTATGCACCTGTTGAATCTATAGCCAGTACTTCCTGAGGGATCCTGCTCTTAAAAGTTTGGTGATCATCTCATTGCAGGCACTTCCATTGCCACTAGCCATTACTGTGCTAGTGGCCACTGCTATCTCCTAATAGTCTGCTCCATTGGAACTTCTAGATTTCCCAAACTCCTGAGTTTGCTTAGACACTTCCATCCTAGAATACTCATTTGCTTAAGATTAAGAAAGAATAAACACAAAGCAGCAGAAGGAGCAGGGTGTTCACAACTGCCACGGCTGGGTGGGAGACAGGATTGCTGACTCTCAGGATTAATTTAAAAGTAGTCCTGTGTCACTTGAAGCTAAAAAGCAGACTTTGATTAAAACATGGGCATCTCCTTTTCCATGAAGTCTTCCCTAAGTTCTTCACATCAAAATATTCTTTTCCTCCTCAAGTTTTCTTAGAGAGAATGTTATCAGTTTCCCAGACACAAGGACTGTGTTGTATCACTTGTCAGGTGTATTATTGAGACGATTCTTGTTCAAGTGTAGGCTGAACTAGATAGTGCCTGAAGGCCCTTCTAACTCTGAAATTCTGTAATTCTTTACTCTCTCTCTTTCAAATTCTACCTGGTATCATTTTTTTTCCATGTACATGTCATCACCTTGCTACTAGATTATAAACTGCTTGAGGGTAGAGACTTTATTTAAAAAAAAACCTTTTTATCCTCAATACCTAGAATAGTACCTTGTTTACTGGAGGTACTTAATAATTTGTTGAATTTATTATTTTATTCAAAGGACTGGGAAATTGCTGACTAAAATGTTGGCTCCAGATTCCAATGAACTCTACTATTGACTGCTGTGTGACAGTAGATAACGTATAAATCTTAAGTAAATGACAGAACAAATTGAAAAGATAAATGATGGTTTCTGAAAGTAGCAGTGGATTAAGACCTGGCTGATTGTGTATATTTTCCTCCCTTTCCTTTGTTTCAGATTTAAAGTATCAAGGGGAAATGAGGGAAATTATATGAGTAAATATGTCATGTTTACTGATCTAGGTATTCAGATTGCATTTTTACTCTTAAGATCAATATTTGTTTGAAAGTGTCCATACTGAGAAATCATTTTCCTTGCTTTGCCATAACAAGACATTAAAAAAGAAAGGAAAGGAACTGGTATAGGCTGCAATTATATAAATATCTATACTTTTAAAACTCTCTATCTATTATATATCTATATATGTGATAGTGCTAACAGATTCAGATCATGAGGCAATGATGATGCATTTCCACAATTAGGTCAATATTAAATCTATTTCCTTAATCACATGACACATCCTTCTGCCTTGGGACTGAAATATGCAATGAAAAATATTTTTCCTATGTTTTGAATTTTTACTGTGTGAAGATTCTTGGGTTGTTCTTGAAATAATAATAGACCATTTGCCACCCTGGTACTCAAGTAATATTAAGAGACATATAGGAAGACTGTCAGAACATTGCATGTACCTTCTGCAAAGGATTTATGGAAAGACAGGCATAAGAGTTGCTCAGAAATGAGAAAACATGAATGGACAGAAATCTGTACTCTTTACATTCATAGATTAAAATGTTAAAGTATTAATTATAGATATGCACATATACATTCAATAAAATGCCTAAGGATAAAATGTTTAATATAAACTTGTCAGATATGATTTCATAAATTTTTTTATAACCTTGTTCTTGTATTTTTTTTCACCTAAAATACTTCACTTGACAATTAACTCTGTGGAATTTGCCTCTGTACTGTTTCCCTAGGCCATCTGTTTCTGTCTATGACTAATTTTGGAAGTGAAGCCAGTTTGAGCTCAGCTGCCCAGTTCTCTAAGATGAGTTTTTTTTGTCCACGTGGACAGCTATTCTTAGAAAAGTGCATCTCGGGCATGCTCAAAGAGATTTATGCCTAGTCAGCTATACCTATAGGAATTATTTCTGACAGTGTAGATGGTAACAGAATGATTTCTAGGACTACTAACACATTTTTCCTGTTGAATAATGTTCCTGCTTTGGAGAATTGAACTAGTGATAATCTAGAAAGTGTACATAGATATAGTCTACTGTGCAGTACATATACACTGTAAAACGCTATATAAATATGAGCTGTTAGATATAGGTAGATGAAATGGACTTCAGAGTAAATTGCTTAAAAAACAATTATAATTTGTTGAATCAGTGATGATGCCTAGTTCTGACATGGACCTAATCTACACAGAAAAATGGAATTTATATGGTTAATATCAATATAAATGAATTGAAATTAAAAATATTCAAGAGCCTAAATTATATATTTTAGATGCCAAGGTTGATCAAATTAACTAATTATCTTTACTCTGTATATGGTGGATGAAACTCATTTGGTTTTGGTGTGATCACAGAATCATGGAACTTAGATATCAAAGAGACCCTAGAAGTCATCTAGATCTACCTCCTCATTTTGTAAATAAACCGAGGCCTATAGAACTTAAATGATTTCACAAAATCACAGAATCTGAGTAGGAAAGGACCTTGGAGATCATCTAAACAAATTCACCACTGAATTGAAATTTATTCCACTTACAGAAGACCATATTTTTTCTGTTCCATTATGAACATACTAATTTCCACAGATACAGCTTATCAGAGAAATATTTTTCCCCAAATCAAGAAAGGCATATTTATGACATATAGACACTAGGAGGAAATTCTGTCCTAAGTACTTTAATTTTTTTGGGTTATTATGGAAAGCTTTGAATTTATAATGAAATAACTTCTATCTACACTATAATTACATGGTGTATTTAAAAATGACCTAATGAAGTTCTAGTTGTTCTAAATTATCTCTTTAGAATGTCAAGTAGGATTAAATTTACTATACTCTTTTAGATGTGGATTTCAAATGCTGATGAATTATTTTCTGTTCACTTAATAGAGTTTGGTCACTCTAATTATTTGAGAGGTAGGGGTAAAATGACACATCCTGTAACATGTCATAAACAGATCCATTAAATAATATATCACCTACTTCATACTTCACATAGTTATTTCTGAACACCAAATCAGGTGCCTGTGTTTTTAAAATGAGTGGTGTTTTAAATATGGGAACTAAAGAATTGGGGTGTTGGCTTCTATTTGTGTTGTACATCTTCCAAAAACTTTTAACTGAAGAGTCTGTGCACTGCAGTTTTTTCCACAGAGCTGGAATTTGAAGCAGCGTTTTCATTTCTTCAAGAAAAATATGGTACCCCTGAGTCTAACTTCATCGATATGCCTAAACATATATATTTTTATATGGGGAGAAAGTGTGCAAGGCAATTGTATACAATTTTCTACCACGGTAAGTAAATTATATTCCTTTGATAAGAAGAATCTGATTAGGCAGTTTTCGCAGAATAATTTCTACATTTGCAAAAGTTTCTTTTACTACTAACAATTAGTTATAGAATAATTGAGTTTCTTTTATTAAAATACTGAGATTAAATTTGGTAACATTATTGTTATTATTATATTTAGACTATCATCCTTTAAATGGAGATTTGATGGTGTTAAAACAATTTCTAATCCATTTTGGTTTATTTTTTGAAAAACAGTTGTAGTACTGAGGTTAAAATGTGACTCATGACAATAACTAAGTTAATGGAATATCTGATTGGGTAGAAATATACTTCATTTTAATGAGCTATTTTTAACTGTTATGTAACAATATGTACTTTAAATGTTGTGTTTATTTTTGTCTAGAAAGCTAGGAAATATAACCCTTGAGAAAAAATACCTATTATACATATGCATATTTATACTTTATATTTTGTATAAATCTATTTGAGCTCTTTAATATTTTAAATTCTATTTTATTCAAATGAAACTTATATTTATTAACTGCCAATATCAGACATTGAAAAAGCAAGTGAATTATATAAAGTAAATGAAGCAATAATTGATTTAGTCCTCTTAAAAACTTAATTTTTAAATTCTTTTCACATGGGCTTAAATAAAGCTGTATATAGCCACATGTTTTAAATTTTCTAAAATATCCATTATGTAAGTTATTACCTTTCCGTGATGGAAAGAAAAAGTAAAGAATAACTAGTTCTGAAAAATAAATTTTGTCTGGGTAATTGTAAATGTACAACTCTTACCTATATGAAGATAAACTACAATATAAAGGTGTATGTGATAAATACAGAGAGGCCCAACCAAAGAACAGTGAATTTTTTTTTTTTTGAGGGAAGGGGTAGAAATAACCTTTGGCTGAGGACATCAGGAAAGACTTTGTGGAGGAGGTGGCACCATGAGCTGCTGACTGTTTTCGCTCATCAAAGATCAGCGAAGGGCAGAGAAGGCTTGACTCCTCTCCCTCCTTATTCTATTCCATAAGCAGGGGATTTCTATGCAAGTTCTCTGTTTCTTAAAGCTATCTGATTTCTGATTTGTTTTGTATAAAACTATTATTGAGCATAACTTCTCCATGATGCCAGTCTACGTGTTGTTTATAGGGTTGATTACAATGGAGGAAGTTAGTGAATAGCTTGTGAGACAGAGATAAATAGAGAAAAAGGATGAGCTTTCTCTGACTGTTGCAGACAATAGGGAGAGAAACTTTTTTTCTTTCCATTCTCTAAAGGGAAGCTGAACTGAACGAGAGAAAATCCTATAGTTTTGATTTTAGAAATAAATTAAAGCTCCTAAATAGCAAAGATATACCAACTATATGGCTTAAGACCATTTTTCATTTGGCTAGGAATAACCAAGATTCAGATGGCTTAGAGTATCAGGCTTTTCAATGAAACTTGCAGTTTCCAGAGTGAGGGATGGAGTAGAAGCTTAGACTAAAGGAAGGCCATATCCCCTAGGTCTTCCAGTGAAAGGAGAAAGATGTAGTTTGGGAGGTGTGTCTACACTCTAGGGCAGGGGTTCTTAATCTTTTTGCGTGTCATGAAACTTTGTCAGTATGGACCCCTCTTCTTAGAATAATGTCTTGAAAATGCCTAAAATGAAATACATAGGAAACCAATGAAATAAACATGTAATTTCTTCCCCATTCAAAATTTTAGAATCCCTAAAATCTATCCATAGTTCAGAACTCTTGCCCTAAGATAACCCCGACCCCTTAATTCCAAAGGATGGAATTTACATAGCTAAATTCTGGCTCATAGTGCCATCTGCTGGTTAAATAGCAAATAAGTAGTCGAGGACTAGAAACCCTGTCTTCTGTCCCTCATAGTATATTGTCTTGACAAAGATTGTCTTGTTTTTTAGCCTAGTTCTTAATGTAGTACTTTTCAGAAATAACTCCACAAAAGTATATTAACTAATTAATTTTTAAAAACATTTGTACAGTTATTTTGCCAGAAAGGTAATACGTGAATCAATCATATTACAATGACTAGAAGAAACCTGCACTATATGTACATAAGTAAATGCCAATTTATTCATTAATTCATTTCCATTTTCCCATCCTTCTATCTTAAACCTCCATCTCCACTCCTGCAGAGGGATCAGAGTGCCCACTTCACTCCATCCTTTGGGCTACTCATACCCTTACAGTAAGCCTTGAGATTCACCAATTATAATCCTTCCTGTAAGATGGAGGACTGACCACTGGACTTTAACATCTGTCCTGCAATTGAGCTCTAAGGATCACGGGGTCTTACCTACTCTGCCATTATAGCTTTCTGCCCATAGGGCCTGACCATTTGCTCTGATGCAGCAGCTCCCGAGCCCCAGGCATTCCATCTGCCCTGCTGTTAAACATTAAGGATTTGGGATTTTCCTGCTATCCTGCCACTGTACGCTGAAGGTCATTGTGACTTTCCATCCTTGCTGCAGCTGAATGTTTCTGTATGTTTTGTCATCACCGGTTAGAATTTGAGCTTAAGAGCAGAATCTTCCCTGTTTTCTGTTTGTATTCATTGTAGTCAGCACAGTGCTTGGCACATAGTAAGCACTTAATGAATGCATCTTAATTAATTTATGGTTTAGTCCCCCAAAGAGAGGTGATAATGGGGAATGGAATGTCATTCACTCTCTAAGAACCATAGATAACTTGACATTTATTTAGCACTTCTGCTCACAATGGAATTTTCAACAACAGATACTTCCTATTGAGTGGTATCAGATTAGTGGCTAACAGTGCCACCTGGTTGCTATGAGACTGAAAAATGAATGTTCAGAAAGTAGGGGGACAGATAACTGAGAGATGAGGCAGTGTCATGGAAGAGAAGGGAGGAAAGAGTATCCAGGAGCAGGGTGTGGTTGATAGAATCATAACCTTCAGACAGATCAAGGAGAATGAAGATAGAATAAAAGCAATTGCATTTAGCAGTTAAGAGATCATTGTTAACCTTGGAGAGAGAGTAGTTTTAGTGAAGTAGTTGGATTGGAAGACAGATTACATGAGATTGAGAAACGAGTGGGAAGTGAGAAAAAAGGAGTGGTGAGTTTAAAGGACCATTTCTAGGAGCTTATTTGTAAAAGAAGAGATATAGGACAATAGCTTGAGAGAATGACAGGGTCCAGGGAAAGATTTTTAAGGATGAAGGAGACCTAGACATGTTTCTGTCAGTCACTCAGTGAATCAGTCAGCAAGCACTTATTAAGCACCTTCTAGGAGATAGTAAAGGAGGATGAGAGAAAAAAATGGGATTGTCAATGGGGAAATCTCTTAGAAGAGACAGGATTAAGAGGGTTAGCAAGAAGTTCCACTTCATTAGAAACTGGAAGAAGGAAGGAGATACAGGCAGAAGATAGAGAAGGATTTCAAGATATGAAATGGAGAGGAGAAAGGGGGGAGAAAAGAGAGCTCTCAGTGGATGCCTTTTATTTTCTCAGAAAAAAATTGATGATGAAATCCTCTGCTGAGGGGTGAATAGGGTGGTGGTCTTGAGATGAAAAAGCTTGGAGTAGAGGAGGCCTCTAGACAGGGTTAACTAGGTGGTGTAATGGAAAGAGCAAAGGGTCAGGAAGATCAGAATTCAAATCTGGCCTCAGACATTTACTAGCTATGTGACCCTGGGCAAGTCACTTAACCTTGTTTGCCTCAGTTTCCTCATCTGTACAATGGTCTAGAGAAAGAGATGGCAAATTATTCCAATATCTTTGCCAAAAAAACCCCAAATGGTGTCACAAAGAATTGAACATGACTGAAATAACTGAACAACAAAAAGTCACTGTGGAGAGTATGACATAAAGACAATCAGGGAAGAATAAAAGTTCTGTGTAGCAGCAAGGGTCTAGAAGAGATTTTGGGGTGTTTTTTTTTTTGGATAGAACCTGTAAAACGACAATTATGAGCAGCTGTGAGTAAGGAAACTCTCTACCATTGAAGAGCAGCACCTTGTCTGCAATTTATAGTCATAAAGACCTGCCTGAAGAGAAGAACATAAGCACATACTATGCTAAGCCATGTAATCTTTTTTTACAATAATTATGTAATTTGATCCTTGTGAGGTAGGTGCTATTGCTTTCTTTGTTTTACAGTTGAGGAAACTGAGACAAAGATTAAGTGACTGCTAGTAAGTTTCATGTTAGTAAGTTTCTGAGGCCAGATTTAAAAACAGGTCTTCCTGACTCCAGGCCAAGTGCTTTATTCTTTTGCCATTTGAGCTGTTTCTTTGTGCCTAAGGTACTGAGGCTTGAGTGACTTGCCTTGGGTTGAGTTGGCTTTTATTAGGGGCAGAAGTTGAACTCAGTCCTTTCTGACTCTGAGGGAAGTTTTCTACCTACTGCTTCTCTAATTAAGTGTAGACGATATAATAGTGAACACAGTTGTACAGTTGCATGATTTTCAGAGCCTCTGAGTGGGAACAGAGCCAGCAAATAGTGGAGTTTAACCAGGGTTGGGGTTTGACAAAGAGGGTCTGGAGAGAGGACAAGGTAGCTACTGATCAGGGGGAGAGTGAATATAGGCTTAAGAAAAATGAGGTAGAGGGAGGGATTAAAAGTAGGAGATTGTGAATGAAGAGAGGAATGTGAAAATTTTGTATCCTGGAGGTAGAACAAAGGTAGAACAAAGATTATGGAGATGACCATCCTTGTATGTTGCTGAGGTAGAGTGAAGATAGAGGTGATAGCATTTTAGAAAATTGATAAACTAGAAGGTCAGAATATTCAAGAGAACATTTATGTGTGTGTATACATACATGCATGCATATATAGATATATGTATTAAATACTTTTAAAATTCAATTTCTTTTAAAGGAAAATGAATTTGAAATTGAAATTGTGTTAAATATGTAACACATGCTTATTTTGGTCCAGATCAGTGATTTGGTCAAGATTTCGTGAGAGTGCTGTGGGGAACTCTTATTGTGGAAACTTTTTCTAGTGATAAAGATCATCCCTGTAATGATGCTATCTCTAACTTATAGTCTTAGAGTGTTTTCAGGGGCATGGGGAAGCTAAGTGACTTGCCTATGGTCATTCAGTTTTTGCATGTATATAATGTGTTAGAGACAGGATTTGAACCCAGATCTTCCTGAATCCAGAGCTACCTTATTTGTTCTGTACATTACAGCGTGCTTCCCCTCATATATATTTAATTACTGCATAATATGCTACTTTTTTGTCTGCCTCCCTTTTATTTTTCTACTGATGTGACAGGATTCTTCAGCTATCAACTTTCTTGAAGAATTATCCAATACAGGAAGCAAAAGTAACCCTAATGATACTGCAGATAAGGAAAATTGTGGTGATTCATGTGCGGTTCAAACTAAAATCACACGAGAAGAAAAGCATTTTATGTGTAGTAAGTAACCTCTGAAAATAGCACCTATAAGTTTTTGAATTTTTTATGTTATAAATGAAAAAAGTGGTCCTGTTTGTAGGCAAATTTTGGGTAATTTTACCTATACCTTGCCTGCCTATCTTGGCCATTGGCCATATATCAATTAAATTCTACAGACGGCAACAACTGGCTGTAGAAGGTGGTACTGACCTGATATTATGTACATTTATAAGAGGTAGTCTGCTTATTCCCAATCTATTGACCAAGTAAAATTCTTCCTGGGTTGTAAAGTGAACAAATACATGATAGAAAAAACAAAACAAAACAAAACAAAACATAGAAGCCAATATTCACTTAGCACCTGTGACACGCAAGATAATTTCCTAGTTGGGTGTTAAAGGATACAGAAATATGAAAAGTTGAATTTTCCCTTTTCAGTCTGCTTTGTGGGATTGTGATCCTCTATAGAATAATTTACATTTGCTTCTTTTACTCCCCTGTCCTATTTTTCTTACTATTATTGAGGACTCTATCATCCTCCTAGATACCCAGGCTTGCAACCTACATGTTATCCTCAACTCCTCACTCTCCTCACCATCCATATCCAATCTCTTACCAAGTACTGTTGTTTCTACCTTCAAAGCAACTCTCACATATCTCCCCTTCTCTGCTCTGCCACAGCCCTGGTGTGGGCCCTCATCACCTCATACTTAGACTACTACAATAGCCTGGTTGGTCTCCCTACTCTGTCTCGCTCCATTAGTGTATCTATTCAATTCTTAAACTAATTTTTCTACAGTTCAGGTCTGAACATGTCACAACCACCTCCCCCATTCAATAAATTCCAGTGGCTTCCTATCACCTCCAAGATCAAACATAAAATCCTCTTTTTCATTCAAAGCCCTTCATAAGGGCCACCATCCTACCTTTCCAGTATTTTCTTCACCTTACTCACATTATTTTGAGATCCAGTGACAATGACCTCTTTGCTGTTCTTCACATAAGACACCCCATCTCTGTACTATGTGCATTTTCACTGATTGTCTACCTGAAATGCTGTCCTTCCTAATTTCTATCTCTTTGCCTTCCTGGCTTCCTTCAAGTCCCAGACAGGGATGTGCTGGTAAATGTTTAACAACTATCTTTTTTTGGGGGGGAGGGGAGGGCTTTTAGCTTGTATTATTAACATTTTCTCAACTTTTAGGTCTAGAAAATTAGGAAAACAATAAATCAAGTCCTGATTTATAGCATTTGATGATTTCTGAGATATAAATGCTTATACTGAAAAAATAACAATTGAGTCTGTGAATTCATTCAAACTGGCTTCAACAGAACCTGGATCCCACCTAAAATCCCACCTTCTATAAGAAACCTTTCCTAATCCTCCTGAATGCTAGTGCCTTTCCTCTGTTGATTATCTACAATTTATCCTATATAAAGCTTGTTTCCATTAGGCTGTGAACTCCTTTAGAGCAGGGACTCTGTTTTGTTTGCTTTTCTTTGTACTTCCAGGGATTAGCATAGTGCCTGGCACATACCAGGTAGTTAAGAAATGCTTGTTGATATGCTATATTTAATTTGGAGAAGAGAGGACTAGGTTGGGGAGAAGGATAGCTGTTTCAAGTATCTGAAGGGAGTTGTATCATGAAAGAAGGGTTTGGCTTATTCTGTTTGGCCAAAAAGAGCAGAGCAATGGGTGTGAGTTTAAGTGAAAAGTTTCAGTTTGATATGAAAAAAGATTTACTGAGAATTAGAACTATCCAAAAGTAGAATGGACTGCCTCTTGAAGGAGGGAAGAACTCATTTCCAATCTTGCCACTGACACTTGCTAGCTGTATGGCCTCTTTGAGTCTGTTTCTTTACAGGGAGATAATAACACTTGCAGGATTTATCTCACTGGTGATCCTGAGACTCAAATGAAAGGGAGAATGTAGAGCATTTTATGAAGTATAAAGTGCTATCTATGCAAATGCTAGGTGTTATTCTTCTCTATCATTAGATTGCTTTCAAGTAGAGGTTGAGAAGCCACTTTTCAAAGATTTTGTTGAATTGATTCATGCTTTAACAAGATCTTAGATTCAATTCGATTCTATGAAGTGAAATGATTAAAAATAAGTAGCAATTATACCTTGTATTTATATAGTACTTTCCAGTTTTCAAATCTGTTTTTTATGTATTATGTCATTTAAGCTTCACAGCAACCTTTTAAAACAGGCAAGCATTGCTATCCTTATTGTACATATCATGAAACAGACTGAAGTATGCTATAACTTCTTCAAGGTCACTTAGCTAACGAGTGGCAAAATTGATATTCAGACCCAGGTCAAACTTCAAATACAATGCTTCTTGTATTTCCAGTGTTTAGCTCAGTACATGGCACATAGTAAGCACTTAATAAATGCTTCTTGAGTGACTGACTTTCCACTACAACATAAACTTCAACAACTATCCCAATCCTCTGAATAATAAGAATTTCTCTCCACTTTCATGAGAAAGAGAGGAAATTTAAAAAAAAACAATTTGATAACAGTATTAACTACAATAAAACAACTTCCAAGATATGTTCTAGTCTTGGTATAGATTCAGACCAATTTCTTACTTCTATATGTGCAATACATAATGGGAATTGATATTTCTTTCATCTTCTGGATTTACTTCTAAATAATATGTCTATAAAAATTAATTCACTTTTGTTTAAGTTGTTGAAGTATGTTATACAAGGCATTAGAATATTAATACATTTTAGAAAGGTTTTTAATAAGGGATAAAAGTAAAAAGCGTTAACAAAAAATTATCCTAAACTCTGTTTTCTAAATATTTGTGTTAATTAAGGTTTCACTGATCTCATACTTAGCTAAAATTCATGAAATTCAAGATTTTTTTCAATCTAGTAGTTTTCTACAACAATGACAATTATCTAAATAATTTTATCATGCTTTAAGGGAATTTGCAGAGTTCCATTGTTTCCTATACAAGAAGCACCAAAAAACTCCTCAGAAATATGATGGATGAACAGCAAGCTTCTTTGGATTATCTATCTAATCAGGTACTCTTTTAATTTCTTTGTTGGTGGTAACATATCTACTTTTTTCTCTTGGCTGGGGTTAACAATTGTCATTGCTTGAAATAAAATTAAACCTTTACTTTTTCTTTAAAGTAACAAGGCTCTAATAGCCTGAATAACAGAGGCACAGGAATCTTAACCTAAGAACTCAGAAGTATCAAAAGTGTATTCAAATATAAATTAATTTAAATGTGTTTTTTCCCTTCTTTTGGCTATGTAGGTGAATGAACTTATGAATAGAATCCTTCTTTTGAATACAGAAGTTTTTAGAAAATATCTGGATCCCTTTCCTCATAGACCAGTTCAGGCACATGGTAAGAACTTTGCCTTTTCTGCCATTTCATATCCCTTTTATGTTTTAGAAGTGCCATAGATGAGACAATGACATTTTTTTTTATTTTTAGAAGAGTATGACCAGATCATTATTTCATAATAGGGTTTGAGGGATTAACTATGAGGTAAATTACAATGTAGACTATGTATGTATGTATGTATGTGTGTGTATGTATGTATGTATATATATGTATAGATATATAGTATATATCTATATCTTTGAACCTGAATAGAATATAGTTATACCCTCCAAAATATTCTAGATGCCCACTATTTTTAATGAGCTATCTTCAGATACAGGAATAGAAAGTTTGCAGCAGAATCTTTCATGCCTGTAATATATTTCAAATTTGAAAGAATAGGCATGATAAGATGGAAAGACAGATAAATTTGGAGTTTGAGGACCTGTATTCACATCCTGGCTCTATAACTTAGTACCTATGTGACTCCAGGCAAGTCTTCAGATGCTGTTTTCTTTTCTGTAAAATGAATAAGTTTGATTAAGTAACTTTTAAGGTCTCTTGCAGTTCCAAATCTGTCAAAAAGTCATAGACTCTAAAGGTTTGAGAAAAAGAGCTGAAGAGGTATGAAGAATAGTTAACCTATTTAACTCATTCTAAAACATACTGGAACCTCTAATATTTTTGAAAGTCATCTAGCACTTGGGGACACCCCTAACCCATCAACTCAAACAAGGGTTTCCCATACAAGTCTACTCCAGGGTTAAGGTACTCTTTGTGTCTATATCCACTCAAAACCATAGCCCATAAGCTCCAATCAATATACCTACCTTTGTTAGTCAGCTAGAGGATACATTTAAAATACTAGAGAATTAGTTAAAAGGAAAAATATTTAATGAAATATCACAATAATAAAAGTAGCAATAAAGCATTTTCTCTATCAGTCTTGGGCACACCCTTCCACAAATGCATATACCATATGAAGAGTGGAAGTGTAGACACACTTGGGGAACACTAGAGGGGCACACATGTAGAGAATGTATGTCTAGTGTATATACACATAGAAGGGCACACACAGAGAACACATATGGTTAGGGCGGCCAAATTAGAAGGGCACGTATGTAGGGAATACGTGTGGCTTGAGCATATTCATGGAGCAGGGACACTCTTCAAACACTGCTTGTGTCTTCTGGTGATGGTGCTATTTCTGCAGGTCTCCTCCCTGTTAGTCTCATGTGGCAGTTGTTTCGGTTGGATTCTACAAGGAATGTAGGCTGTGCTACTAATCCCCAAAATTTCTCTTTGCTTCTAGTATCTGACTTCAGCCAGAACAATTAGCTTGGGTGCTAGCTTTTCTTCTTGTTGAGCAAGCTCTATCATACTCTTTCAGTTTAAACCCTAGGGGATTTACTACTTTTACAAACTTTGAATTTTCCTGATAATTATTTTCATTTCTACTGAAATATAAGATCAAACTCTTTTTCAAATATTCATTCAGTGAACAGGATGATTAAACTGTGCTGTATTTGTAGAATAGTATTAGTGCTTAAGAAATACTTGCTGATTAATCTGTTGCTCTGATCAGAAGAAGAGTCACTTCAAGTCTATTTGTCTATTGCTACTTGCATTAACAATCCTAGGAGGGTATAGCTGGAGAGATTTGAAGAAATGGAAAGTAAATGGAGATAAATCTTTTATTAATTTTTTTTTCAAAATTGTGGGAGGGGAAAGGAGAGAGATGGTTTTAGGATAAGTATTGAAGTAAAGATGATTATTCATTTAAATCAATATGATTATCTTAGCAGCAAGAAATTCAGATCTCATGCTGTCAGTGAATAGAAGAAACATTTCATAATAACTATTGTTTTTTTTTTTACCATTTGGAAATCAGGATTTGCGTCTTCTTGTTTTTATTTTTTCCTGATTTTTAGAGCTGAGATATTTTTATTGTCAAAGTGATTGAAAATTACCATTTTCCTGCAAATAAATTTCTATGTGAATTCTTTAATTCTCATTCGTTCATCTTACTGTGCTAAGATACATCTTTATAAAAATGCCAATTTAGAATACCTTTTGATTGTTCTTTAGGTTTGGATTGCACTGATATTAAAGATACAATTGGCACTGTAACAAAAACTCCAAGTGGTTTATACATAATACACCCAGAAGGCTCCAGTTACCCTTTTGAGGTAAGAGTCTTCTTTTACATGTTGCAGAAGATAGCAGAGAAGCATAGAGACAGAACTTATGATTTTACTGGTGTAAGGAACTCCAGAAAGGAATTTCTTCCATCAATGCACATTGGCACCTTCTCTTAAACTTACAGTCATAGACAGTTGCCAGGAGCGTTGGAAGGTTAAGTTATTTGTATAGGGTCACAGTATGTCTTAGAGGAGCGGATGGAACCCAGTTCTTACTGGTTCCAAAGATGGTGCTCTACCACACTGCTTCTCAAAATAAGCATGCAGATTCAGAGTTCTAATTCAATATTTTTGTAATGTATCCCTTAAACATTACTGAGTGAATCTATAAGAATTCTGCTTTTTAGTTCTACTCGTTTCTCAAATTCCAGTGTCCAATGGTACTTAAAGAGCAAGCTGAATTATTCTTTTATTTAATTAGGAAATTTTGCAGTTTCAGTTTCAGTAGTCATGGTTGCTGTGTTAAGAGTGAAGCAATTTGCTTCAGGATCTTATTTTGTCATGACAGCAATAATGAATATTTTACTGATGTGAAAATATAACATGGTAAGTATTAGTCTAGGATTCACTAAGGAATAATAATTTTGATTTTCCTTCCATATGATTTCACATGTTTTTAAGGTTAAAAAGTTGGTAACATGAGAAGTCAACCAGTACAATTATTTTAGCAATAATGGGGAAGGTAGAAAAAATTCCCAATTCATTTCTGGTTCAGGTTGCAAACTACTCAAGTCCTGTCTCTGATAAATATCTAATATTAAATGTATAATAAGTTCTTCAGTAAATGTTTCCTTTTTTCATTCATTCATTCATACAGTGTATTAAGGTTTGCTAAATGCTTCACACATCTCTCATTTGATCCTTACTACAGGCATTTTTCCTGATTTTATAGGTGAGGAAACTGAGGCTAGATCAATCAATCAATTAGGAAGTTTTTATTCAGCACTTGTCATGTATAGGAAGAGGTCAAGTGGTTTGCCTATAGCCATGTCAAGAGTTAGGATTTGAAATGATACTTAGTTTTGTTATTTAAAGATAAATACACAATAACTTAAGAATGGTTAAATGTATCATAGTAGGAAAATATCATATTTTTCTTTTAAGAATTAGGATGGGGGCAGCTAGGTGATGCAGTGGATAGAGCACTGGCCCTGAAATCAGGAGGACCTGAGTTCAAATCTGACCTCAGACACATAACACTTCCCAGCTGTGTGACCCTGGGCAAGTCACTTAACCCCAATTGCCTACAAAAAAAAAGAATTAGGAAGAAACAGTTCAGTGTGGTTATTTTGTCAAAATATATTTGAAGTATTCGTGGATTCACCTTTCCTTCAATGTGTGTCCTCCAACCTTCTATGCAGATTTAAACCCTGCTCACTAATTTAGTCCACCGGACTGTAATGTGTATTCATAGCCTAACTCCTGGAGTGTGTAATCAGTCATGGAGAGAGTGGGAAGATGAATCGCATCCAATACCCCCTGTGATAACCAATCTTGTCTCCAACACAGCCATTCCATATCCTCATCCCCAAACACTTTTCCAGTTTATTTTCTCCAATATTACCCCAAAGTTTCCAACTTCACCCCTTCTGTGTCAGTTATTAGGTATTCCCCCCTAATAGCAATTGTAAACTACCCACTGCGTGGGTACTCCCCTGTCCCTCAGCTCACCACGTGGCTTTGACAGGAGCCCGTCAAAAGGAGAGATGAAGACATACTCCCCCTCTTCACCTTTCAAAATTTTTGGTGGCTCCAAAGAATAACCCCTCCCCTTTTGAACTTCACTATTTTTGTCACCATCATCATCATCATCACTATCACCCCATATATATGTATCCAACGAGCTGCCAAATGTTCCTGTTTCTATTTTCACACACTCTTGCATCTGCTTACTTCTCTCTATTCACACAAACACCACCATAGTTCAGGCCTCCTCCTTGGACTATTTAAATAGCCTACTAATTTGTTTCCCTGACTCAAGTCTCTTGCCTTTCAGGTCCAACCTCCACGTAGCAAAGTGATTTTTTTTAAAGTATAGATGTCATCATGTCACTCCTTACTCAATAAACTCCTGTGACCCCTTATTGACTCGAGAATCAAATATCATTTTAATATTTATCTCATCCTTTTAGATGTCTACTTTTATATAAGTTTTATAATATATATAATATTAGTATTGTAATAATATGTACATATAATTCACAAATATATGAATATACATATATTGGGCAATGTGCTCTAAAATTTGATAATAAAAGTGATCCAAAAAGTTTGAAGAGCACTATCTTGGTTGATGGTCTTCACAAATTGTTATGGCTTAAAAAAAATCATTACCTAGTGGCCAACCTTCTGGTGATGAGCTCCTCTGCACTCCATATTTATCACTCAATTAAAATTCTGGTATCTTTTGTCAAATGACATCCAGGGCATTCTCCTTCATTCTTCAATGAATTCAGTGCGTTGCTTATAGTCTTTCTACTCCACATCCTGCCTTTACACTAGGGGACTTCAGCATATATGTTGATACTTTTAAACCATGCTAACTTCCCAGTTTTTCAACTTATTTAGTTCCCAAGATTTACTCCATTCCACCTCAGCTACACACAGAAATGGACATACCTTTGATCTTGCCATCAGCCCCATATGTTCCACTTCTCTATTCATCAACTCTGAAATTCCTTCATATTATCAGAATCTTTTGTCACTCAATTTTTCCTTCTGCCTTTCAACCACTAACTATGTTCTGTGTCCTTACTATGACCTTCAGTCCCTTAACACCTTATTTTTTCCCTAGGCCATTACCCCTGTGATGGCTATATTCTTGTTCCTTCCCAGTCTTGACCATTTGGTGAACCAGGCCAACTGTATACTACACCCTGTAATTTCCCCCTTGTCCTATTTTTTTTTAAACCATGCTCTGCCAAACCTCAGACTTGATTTACTCCCACCATCCTCTGACTTCACTCCTATAAAGGCAACTATGTGGATAGAGCATTGGACAACTAATCAGAAGAATCTGAGTTCAAATCTAACCTCAGACAGTAGCTGTGGGACCACGGGGAATTCACAATCTCTGCCTGCCTCAGTTTCCTTATTTGTAATATGAGATAATAACACCCACCTCCCAGGGTTGTTTTAAGGATAAAATGAAGTAATATTTGCAAAGCACTTCGCAAACTTTAAAGTGCTATGTAAACACTAGCTATTCCTGTGCTCCTAAACATAACTGAAGAAAATCACATAGCCATGCTAACTGGTTCCACTACAAATGTGATATGTAATCTCAATTTGACCCTTATTGCAATAGGGCAATCCTTTTGTACTTGTCTAATCAATTCTATATACATTTACCATGGCAACTATTTCAAAACTTTTCATCCCCCTCAAACTTCCTACGGTAATCCCTCCCTACAACTTGCTCTCTACCACCTTGCTTCATACTGCATTAAAAAAAAAAGGCTATTCTCTGAGAGCTCCTTATTCTACTTTTCTTAACCTCACATCTTTCCCCACTCTTTCCTCTTTCATCTGTTTCACATGAAGAGATGGCCCTTATCCTTGCCAAGACAAATCTCTTAAGGCACCGGTGATACCATTCTATTCTATCTTTTTCAGAAGATTGCCACCTCTCTCATTCTCACTCCCACTAATCTTTAATGCCTCCTTATCAATTGGTTCTTTCCCTGATGCCTACAAATATGCTTATGTCTCCTCTAACCTAAAAACAAAACAAAACAAAAAAACTCAACAAAAAAGCTCCCACATCATTCAACAATTCCTGATAGTTAAACTATAGCTACAACTCTCCTCCCTTTCATGGCTAAATTCCTTGAGAAAGCCACATACTTTCCTTAAACCTTTGCAATCCTGCTTCTGACCTCATTCATTCAACTACAAAGTTACTAGTGATTTTTTAATTGCTAAATATAACAACCTCTTCTTAATTCTCATCCTTTTTGACCTTCTTATGCCTTTGATAATATCATTCTTTTTTCTCTAGATACTCTCTCCTTTCTGGGTTTTTGTGACATTACTTCTTTCCTACTTATCTGATTGCTCCTTAGTTTCCTTTTCTGGATTTTCCTGCATGGAATGCCCACTAACATTTGGTATCCCCCAAGGGTCTATCCTTTTCTCCCTCTATACTATCTAACTTGATAATCTCATTAGCTCTCATGGGTACAATTATCATCTCTATGCTGGTGATTATTACATCTTTTTTTATCCAATCCTAACTTCTTTCCTGAACTCCAGATTTACATCTCCAGCTGCCTTTTGGACATCTTAAACTGGAAATCCTGTAGAAAATTTAACATATGAAAAAAGACTCATTATCTTTCCTTCCAAGCCTCTCCCTCTTCCCAGTTTCTTTATTGTTGCCTTATAGTACTTCCTCCCCACCCCCACCCCCATCGTCTCTGTCACCCAGGCTTACAACCTGGGTGTTATCCTTGACTGCATACTTGTTCTTACTCCACATGTCCAATTTGTTGCCAATACTTGTCATTTCTACTCTCATCCCTTCTCTATATCACTTTCTTTCTACTCATGTACTACCCTGGTAGCAATCTTTATCACCTCAAGCCTATACTATTACAATATGTTTCTCTATTAGTCTCCCTGCCTCATCTCTCTCTCCATTCTAATCCATTCTCCACTCAACTGTCAAAGTGATGTTTGTAAGGCAAAAGTCTGACCATATCATTCCCTTTATTCAATAAACTCCAGTGGCTCCCTGTTACCTCCAGGATCAAATATAAAACCTCTCTTTAGCTTTTGAAGCTCTTTACAACATGGCCCCTTCCTCCCTTTCCAGTCTTCTTAACTCTTAACTCACCTTCACTATATTCTGCAATCCAGTGGCACTGGCCTTCTTGCTATTCCTTGCACATGACAACCCATCTCCTAAGTTTCTGACTTTTTATTGGATATCCCCAATGCCTGGTATGCTCTCCCCCTCTTAGTAAGAGAGCTTCCTGACTTCCCCAGCTTCCTTCAAGATCTTGTTCAGATACCACCTTCTACAGGAAGCCTTTCCAGTTCATTCCTCATTTTCTTTCCCCTTGCTCCCTGCAACTTTCTTCTGTATATGTCTTTTCTATTCTATTTTTTGCTTATCTCCCCCATTAGAATATGAGGTCATTAAAGTCAAGACTGTATTTTTCCTTTCTTTGTATCTCCAGTGCTTAAAGGTACAGTGCATGGCACATAATATGCCCTTGATAAATGTTTGTTGACTGAGTGCCTGAATTTAGGTAGAGTGGTCCTTGTATTACAGATACACAGTCAGTCCCTGGGTTTTTACTTAAAGCCTTTATAGGATTACTCAGTATAGGCTGTACTCAAAGCCTTTATAGTTCTGACAAAGCTTTGGTGGGCCCTGTCAGAATTTCCATATTCTTCAACAGCCCAGTGTCACTGCTAACCATCTCTAAAGTATACAAAATAAAATAAATTTTGCATTACTGAGAAAATCATAAAGATATACAAATACAGGTATAATAACTATTAGTATTATGATTTTCTAAAAAGTTTTTATTACATACACATGTTTCTTGTTATATATACATTTTATATACACGTTTCTTTCCATAAAATATTTATAAAGATAATTTTAAGTCACAATACCCTACTGTCATACAAATACATTAAATTGTTTAGAGGAAAAAATTTCAGTTAAAATGAGTTTTTAAAATATGAAGATGGAAAAAAGTATAATGCAATGATATGTTACTAAAATTTTCTTAAATGTCTTTATTTTAGGTAATGTGTGACATGGATTATAGAGGAGGTGGATGGACCACGATACAGAAAAGGATCAATGGAGCAATTGATTTCCAAAGGCTCTGGTGTGATTATCTGGATGGATTTGGAGATCTTTTAGGTTCAAATTTTACATACTTATCCTTCTTAATTTTGGTCATTTTTAGGCCACTCAATGTCTCTGTTGGTCAGAATTTTGCTGATGTAGGTCATATTCCCAGTGAACTTTGGTATCGGTAATGATAATAATAATGAGAATAGCTAGGAATCTATATAGTGCTTTACAATTTTCCAAGTACTTTTATTATCTCATTTCATGCTTTCAACAGACTTGTGTGATAAATACTACCACTATTATTATCACATCCATTTTATAGATGAGGAAATAGAAGGTCATATAGGTTAAGTGACTCATCTGTGGTTACAAAGCTGGTGAATATTCAACATGGGATTAAGAACTCAAGAGCTTTCTTGACTCTAAATTTAATGCTCATTCTACTACCTTTTACCACTTTTCAGGAGGATTTGAAATTCTTCTGATATGCTTTTCATACAAAATAAATGGCTCTTTAGGACTGTTTTTTTTGTTTGGAATGAGATTTGATTTGAATTCTAATGTGATTTATTTTTAATGTTTATATTGTATGACTTTCTATATAATTTTAAAATATTGTAGGCAAGTAAAATTGGGAATTACTAAGGCACTGCTATGGGTGCTATATTTGAATGGATCTGTAATCTCATCAATGTAGACATTCCCTCCAATTATACAGATTGCAACTTGCTATCTCATGCAATTGAATATCCTATACATGTTCTCCCATAAGTTTGACACAGGAGTCTACCCAGTATGCTGAGGCCTTTCTCAATTTCTCTTGACATCTCTGATGCCACAGCATCTTATACCTTGCTCTCATGACAGGACTAAACCATCTTCTTTTTCAACCATGTATTTCTTTACTGATATGTCATTACTTGGTTCTTATTCATAGTTTCTTATGCGTTATGTGTTGCAGCCTATTTGCTCCCACCATGAATTTCTCCATTGCCATTTTAGTGATACTTATTTCTAATTCTTTAATATCTATGTTATTCCATGACTTGTAGCCATATAATACTCATAGAATATTGTTATTAAAAAAACAGGGCTTTGATTCTGGGAGAAGTTTGGGATCATTAAAAGAACTTTTCAATTTCCCTAAAACAATCCAATCTGCTTTTTTCCTTCCTTATGATTTTGGAATCATGTTATCCATTTATAAAGTTGATATTATATATATATATATATATATATGCATATTATATATGCCATATAATATATACATTGATAGAAGAGCTCAGTATGTTGCCCATTTAAATATGTCATAATCTGGGCAGTAGGCATTCCTCATTCATTTATTTCCTGTGTAGATGGCTAGGCCAATACTTTTGATTGGTTATGGATCCCTTCCAAAGGTTCTGCAGTGTTTTAGGACTTGATAAAATAGTATGAGGTCATCTGCAAACAGGAGCATCTAGAGGACCTCACCCTAACAAGGAATTTCTCTTTAACTTCAATTATTTGTTGGATCTCTTCCCCATCAGAGTTAAGTCCTTTGATGAGTATATATCTCCCTGTTTAATTAATTGTCTGATATTAATGATCAGAGAATCATCAAATGAGGTTCCTTCTTTTATATATTTCATGGAATCTTGAACAATTTTATGTATGCTTGGGAGACACCTTGTTAGAATGAGTTTTAAAGGGAGTTGGCTCTACCAAGTCAGATTTTTTTAAAAAAAAATCAACAATAATCACAGTGGAATATTGTATTCTTTAAATCTTTTTATTAACTGTGTATGGGTAATATTATAGTTTGCTGAGGAGTATTGCTTATAAATGTCTGCCTATTCCCTCCTAACACCATAATTGTGAATATCCTCTATGTGTGTGTAAATTACTGTCATAAAAATTTTCTCCTTATCGCAAATGAGGCAAGGTTACTACTTGTTGATAGTCAGCTGGTTGACTTCTTTTGGTCTTAATAAGGGAGATTTTTTCTAGTGTTTTAGTAACTTCCCCTCTTTCAGATACTTTGTGAATATATTATTTTTTTTTCAGATTTTGTAAAGCACTTTCATAATTTTATTTATTTTTAGTTTTCAATATTTATTTCCACAAGATTTTGAGTTCCAAATTTTATTCTTCAATGTCTTCACTATTGTTCCACCTCTAATGTGAATTAAATCTGTGAACACTTGGTCAGATCCAAGTGCTTTTCCTGTATGTTCTCTTTAAAGAGAACTTACACTTAAGTGAGATTACTATCTCCTCTATAAGCACATGTAGGGATTGTAGAGTCCTGGTGTGGCAGTTCTCTTGCCCTTGATGGTGAAAACAATGTTATAAGTATCTTTTCCATTTCTCTTCTGTTTGTTATCCTCCTTCCCTTTTAAAAAATATCCTTGGAGTCTTGTGTCTTTGCTAGTGGCTCCATGGGTCACTGGTAGCTCTACTGGAGCCACTCTCAAAAATTCAGTCAGGGGTCTTGGTCATGCAGCGTCTGTTCGAACCGGCATGGCCTGATCCACAAGTACAGCCTGAACATGTACTGCTAGTGCTTCTGGCTGTACGTGAAAGACATCGGCTTCATCAAGTTGGACTAAGTTATATTTATGGATCTCCCTTTAGTGATTACACTGACCATCAATGACTACCATTCTACTGGACCCTGGACAACTATTTGGTCTAACCACCTAAAGATCGATCTTGTTATACATGCTATGCCAATCTGCATATATAATTTAAAAAGGTCAGCGTCAGTTATTTTTAAAAAATGTCCTTGAGATAGCTATGTCTATGTGGTAGTTTTACCTCCACTGCTTTTCTGTTTCTTGGGGTAGTGCTGCTCATAATCTTCTCTCATCTTTCTCAAATATGCTTTACAAATAAGTTTTTATTCTAAACAAGTATTGCCCTTGGTGGCTTGTCAAGAAAGTCATGTATTTGCTAAAGCACTTTTTATTCTCTTTTGGTCTCCTTATTATGGCAATTCTTTTAATTGGTGCTCATGTGCTTTTTCTATCTTTCTTCCATTTTTTATCAATACCTTTTTCTTGAGATCAGAATGGAGTCTTTTTTTTAACTGCATGACATATCTTTTTCTTCACTGAACATTTTCTTCAGACTTTCAATTCCATTTCCCCCCTTCTATTTAAGCAAGGTTATTTTCATAAACTAAGAGAGATGAAGATTGTGAGATCCTATAACCTATCATACTCCCTTGGGTTGGTATTTCATTTGTCTGATCCATTTTCTTTCTTTTAGAGTTTTACCAGAAACCTGGCTCCAATCTGATGTTATGCCCTTTAAGTGCCCTCTAATTGGTAACAGGTTCTAACACCCCTGAATTAGGTTCTAGAATCTCCAAAGCTGCCCCAGGGTTCATATACATTAAGTATATTCAGTATACTAAATATAGTTAATTTCTATCTGATGTCAATCTGAGAATTGTCACAGTACCATCCCTAGGCTTTCTGCATTCTTTACCCCCTCCCCTCTCCCCTGCCACATATCTGTTCTGCCAGGTACTTATCAGCAGATCCATAGCTTAGGGATATGTTTCAGAATGTGATTATAGACATATTAGGTATGCAAACTTTAGCCCTGAGGGTACATTGCCAGTAACACAGAGGATCCTTGGGATTCACACTCAAGGTTCACTATTGGATATCATCTTGTCCTCAGATAAGTTTTTGGTGAGTCTATGCATTTTTACTTTGGAAACTGAGACAACAGACATTCTAGCCTGATCTAGGAATTTGGCATTGTACCGGAGAGCTCTGAAAAACCTGTTATTCTGTAGTTCTGGAAATGTTTATCTCCAACCTATGAACCCAGTAGTTCTGTTTATGACCATGGTTCAACAATTTGAGCTATTATTTTTCTATCCATGGACCTTTTTGATTATCTTGATCATACCAAATAAATGTTCAATTAGGAAACCATAACACAAAAAGACAGAGAACACTTATTTGAACTAAACATTTTCAGGAAGCCTTGAGGTAGACGGCTTAGAGATAAGGTATACTATGCATATCTATGTACATGAATTTATTATTATCATATTGATGTGGTCTAAAGTAACTTTTAGTCTTTTTAAAAATTTTCATTTATACTTGGCTGTGAGGCAAAATATTCATAGCTAAATGAGATGAAAAATTAAAATAATTATATGGATAATTTATACTAAAAATTAAAATTTTGTTTAGATTGCCTTTCTCCCCACCAATTTTTCCACATAAAATCTCTTAGCTTCTGGCAGTTGAGATATAAAGTGGTCAAAAATAATTGATTTTTGATTTCTATAATTTAAAACCAGACATTTTCTCTCTACAGGAGAATTTTGGCTTGGATTAAAAAAAATATTTTACATCGTAAATCAAAAAAACACCAGCTTTCTGCTACTTGTAACACTGGAATCTGAAGATGAAACATTTGCTTATGCATCGTACGAAAACTTTTGGATAGAAGATGAAACAAACTTTTTTAAGATACACTTAGGACGTTATTCAGGAAATGCAGGTAAGATTATCCTCTTTAAAATTATGCCAGTAAATAAAAATATAACATATGACACTTAATGAAGGTTTAGCAGTGTATGCATGCTGTTATGTAGTATTGATTGTAATAGACTTCTTGGTGACTAGTGTTAGAAATGAGAAAATGGGACAATATTTTGAGTTTTGATATTCTAAGTTTCTTGGGATAATTTAATTTTGTATAGTGTCTTACAGTTTTCAAAGTGCTTTTATGTGGATTATCTCATTTGATCCTTACAAAAATACATTGAGGAAAACAAATTAGGTACTATTATCCGAATTTTACACATGAGGAAACTGGAATTCAGAGAGATTAAGGTTGGCTAGTATAGGCATGAGATGAGAAACCAGGTCTTTTAACTCCTAGTTTTGCATTCTTTCTACTATGCTAAGCCTCTTATGATAGTTTACATTTATGTTGGATTTTTGAAAACTCAAATATATGCTATTACACTAATTTTAAGGGTAATTGAATTGAGACGTTTTTATCTTAGCAAAATGGGGAACCTATTTGAGAAGGATTTAACAGCCGTATCACAGCATAAACATGAGAAACATTGAGAAGCTTCGGCTAGTCATTATTGCTAAATGCTGGAAAAAGATCAAGGAGGATTGCTAAAAGACCATTTGGCAATTAAAAATCATTGGAATTGGGGAATGACTTTATAATGTCATATGTGAATGTGATATAAAATTATTATGTGATAAGAAACAATGAATAAAAATTCAGAGAAATATTGTAAGACTTGTGTGAACTGAGGCAGAACAAAGTAAACAGAATCAGGATGACAATACGCATAATATTGGTAATAGTTAAAATAATGTAAACAAAACTGACAATGAAAGGAAATTAAATTATTATTAATTGTAATGACCAATCTTTGTCATAGAGAGCTGTTGAAGAGACTCAACTTCCACCTCTTAGTAGAAAGATGGGGTACTTTAAATATGAAATGTCGTAAACTGTGTTAATTGGTTTGCATAAATGCTTTTCTTTGTTAGGGTTCAGTGGTAGTGGTGGGTATATGGCTAAAGGGGAAGTTATTGTAATGTAAAAATAAAAGCAATAGGAAATAAAAAAGAGAAAAAAGTTACCAGTGACATTTGAGACAGCATTATCAATAGAGTGCTAAGGTAGAGAAGTAAGATTGTAAAGGTAAAAGAAATGGTGTTGAAATGTTAGAAATATAGAAGGATAATAGTGGTGGAATAGCAGTGTGAAGGAAAGTCTATATACACATATTCATTATGTATGCATGTGTTTTTAGGATAGTGGAGTTCTGAGCCTATCTGTAAGCATAAGAAAAGATCTAGTAGACCCAGACTGAAGATGAGAACATGGTTAAAGATCCACATAGACAAGTTCCAGAGGAGATTGATGAGGCTAGGAATAAAGGGTACAGGTAAGGAGGTTTAAGGATGAAAGTGTTTAAGGTAAAAGTCTTCCTTTTATCTATAACCAACTTACCATAGCCAAATGAAGTGAAAAATGTGGTAATTTAGTTCAGGGCCTTACGTACAGTCAATAATAACTATTGAGTGAATGATTCGGTATTCAAATGAAAAAGTTTTCTGCAGAATGATGGCAGATTTATATATAACACTTTTGGCCTTACGTTTTCTGATTTGTAATTTACATAGTCTAAATCCAACTACCATCTTCTTGACTTTGATTTTTAGAACTGGCTAGATGCACAGTTTGGGAAGATGCTTGAAGGGCCTACAAAATTCTGGAAGGCATTAATTTTCTTGTGTATAATGCCACCTAAGCAGACACTGATATATGAAATATTGCTTGTGATAAATAAGGATTAAATTATAGTTTATATAATTTTTATCTCTAAAGTACTTATGGAATTTCAATAGCAAAGCAGGCTGAAAATATTCAATTATATTAATGAGAAGTGCTTTCATGTTTAGTCATTGTCAATCTGTTTTATTCAGGTGATGCATTCCGTGGTCTCAGAAAGGAAGACAATCAAAATGCAATGCCTTTCAGCACCTCTGATGTTGATAATGATGGATGCCGTCCAGCATGCATGATTGGTGGTCAGTCAGTCAAGAGTTGTAGTCACTTCAATAATAAGACTGGTTGGTGGTTTGGTCAGTGTGGTTTAGCAAATCTTAATGGTGTTCATCAGTACCCAGGAAAGTTGCTCTCATCTGGAATTCACTGGGGTACATGGGTTAAAAACAATTCATGGGTCAGAATCAAATCTGTTTCGATGAAAATACGAAGAACTTACAATCCACTTTTCAAATAATTAACCATAAAACAATAATATATTAGTTATTCCAGCTATTCTGGATAAAGTATAAGTACCATCCTATTAAAATGTCTATATTTCTTTCATCAAAAAAATTATAAGAGCTTATGTTTATGTAGAACTTTATGGTTTAAAAAGTGCTTTTCCTCAAAATAACCCTGAAAGGTAGGTTGTGCAAGTATTATTATACCCATTTTATGGGAAAGGAAACCAGAGCTCAGAGAGATTAAGTGACTTATCCAAGGTCACTTAACCAGTTAAGTATAATAGTGGGGACTTGAATCAGGTCTCCTAACTCCAAATCCAATTTCAGTTCTGATCTTATGCCTTGATTTTTATAAAGCGAAAGTTTAGCCTAATATGATGTGTGACATACTGTAGAAGCATCAACAATATATAATTAATTCCTTTTTAAAAAATTGTTCATCCTCTAACCAGCTTATTGGATCTAGTTAATTTCTGGGTTTTCTCACTTTTATCCTCCCTAAGTACCAAAGTGTAACAAATAAGACTGTTTTCAAAATAGAATATGTCTTCAAAATAACATTGAAGGAGAAAAGCAAGAATCATTTTCCTTTTTCTTAGTGTCTAATATATAGCCACACATACACACACATGCACATGTGTGCATATATATAACACAGAAATATCTGTTGAATGAATAAACATGTTTAAAATACTTGAAAGCAAACTTTTCAAGTATCCTTACGGACTTTCAGGGGCCCGTATACATAAAATGATACATTATTTAGAAATCTATGTTGTTTATTTTGAAGGACTGTTTTAAAGGACCTCTACTAGGTAATAGTTTGAATCTTGTTAACCTACTTTGAACAGTTGGAAAAAATTAAATTGTATTTCTTTAAAAATTATTCTTCAATTCACTGTCTTTATTAATCCAGACTAATTTCTCTACCCTCCATATAAATAAAAATTATTGAGGCTACACACACACACACACACACACACACACACACACACACACACACACACACACACACACATTTTCAGATATCATGATTATGGAAAATTGTAATTTTGGGGAGTGGCACTGAAACAGCTATAGTGAAGTGAAATAACAATAAAAATATTATACTTATCTTTAGGGCTATCTTCTTCTACAAATTATTAAATAGACAGGAAACTTCCATTGAAGGACTCTTGAGTAGTAACTTCTGTGCAAATTAATACCTTAAAGCATATGTTTGAATCCTGTTTGACTTGGTATCTAGTATTAACCCATTTTTGTGTCCACATCATATACTGATGTAGCAATAGATTTCTCATTGTCAATAAAAGAAATGTTATAAAAGTTTATTTTAGTCATTCCCATCTTTTATAACTATTTTTTCTAATGATTCTTTTTGTTTTCAGTTAATTCATTCCATATTTTAATCCTAATTAGGCATATAACAATATACTCACTCCACCAGTTTTTAAGAGGCTAGTATAAGTAGATAGCATGGGTTTCAAGGGAAGTGAAAATAAAAACATGGATTGGTGATAAAGAAGTGGTACTAGAGCTAGCAAAAATCAACCTCTCACCTCTCCCACTGAGTCAAGGTGTGTAAAAAAGGTCAAGACCTCATTGAAGAAGGTGAGTGAATATGAAATCTTCAGCTCTCATGGGAGAGGACAGAAATGGGCATACCCTGTTTAGGAGTTTTTCAGGGAAGTGGGAGAAAGAGATAAGGATTGGGTTTAAAAATAAAGAGTTTGCTTATGCTAGAGTGGGAATTCCACAGAGCATAGAAAAAAGGAAGCAATAAGCAGAAGATAAATATTCTTACCTTGGTGAAAGGGGGTGAGAAGAAATAAGTGAGGGATAAGCATGAGGGTTTGGATGGAGATAGCAAGATTGAGATGTTCATGCTCAGAGAGGCAGGCATAGACACTGGTGATGAGTGGAGATATGTACAACCATGGGAAAAACCAGTGCAGGAATGAAAAGATGCTTTTATTTGTATAGTAAGAGTCATTAAAAGTTCAATGAAGGAAAGAACAGAAAATGTAGAAATGTAGGTACACAGATTACACAGACATTAAGATATAAACGCACATACATGTCTGTTTAAGGTCAGAAACCAGTATTAGAAATAGAACATTTTCCCTCTCAGATGATGTAGGTCATATTCTATCAGTGGGATTTTTATGATCCTTTTTTGATTTGTCTGAGCTCATACAACAGTTTTGGATAGTTTACAAACTCATGGACAATATGTGACTGGGAAAGAGGTAGGGATGGGGAAGGTGTGAGGTGGAATGGCAAAATGAGCTATGCCCTTTGAGGTTAGCAGAATGAAGATGTATAGGTTACTGGACTTATGATGTCATCAAATTAGGGAGTTCCCCTTAAAAAAACTCTTTTAATGCAGGTTAGCACCTTAAATGGCTTGTCCAGGGTCACATGGCCAGTAAATAAACAAACAAACAAATAAATAAATAAATATATATATATGAAAAAATATACATACATATATACAAATATACATACACACATATATGTATATCTCAGAGGCAGGATTTGAACCCAGGTCTTTCTGACTTCAAGTACATCTTTCTATTCACTATGTCATGCTGTTTCTTGAGCGAAGTTAAGAGATAAATATGTATGTGATTTGGATTAAATGACGTATATAGTGGAGTGCTTGAGAACCTTAGAGAACAGAGAGCAAAAAAAGATAAGATAGAAGAAAGAGATAAAGTGATGTCAGAAGGAAGCATCATAGTGGCATATAAAAAAGATGAGAATGAAGAATGAAAAAATATGCAGTATGGAAAATAATTGAGGCAATATATGTTAGAATTGGTGTCCAGTATTATTTCTGGACAAAAGGGAATACCAAAGTTTTGCACTGCTGCTTATGTCCTCTGTCAATTTCCCTACGTTGTGGCCCTGGGCTACATAACACACTAAGTACCCCTGTGCAGAAATTGGAGGGGGAGGGGAAGAATTCTTTATCCATTCACATAAATCTTTAAGGAGTTGCCCTTTGACCCTCTGCTTCAGAGAATCTTGGTAGTTACTGACTGTTCTTAGAATAATGTCACTCATTCATACAATATGTACTTTCAATTCACATTAACAAAAGGAACTAGAAAATAAGTTTTTTTTTGTTTTTTTTTTTTAGAAAATAAGTTTTGAAAAGTGATCTACCTGGGGAATTTCATAATATAAGAGTATGATGATTTCTGGCTTGACTTTTCTTGTTTTCAGCAAAGCAATTCTAATGAAGTAAAAATAGTTTTTCCATACACAAATGTGGATTCAAGAATTCAGCTGGTTTACGTGGCACTGTAGAATTTAATGTCTTAAACATCTGGAAAAACAGCTTGATGGCATTTCATTTTCCACTGAAGTCTGAGTTATTTAATATTTCAGGAATGTCAGCTTTCAGAATTGAATGGTATTCTACTAACTTTTTGATTTATTTGTCGGGAATTAAGACATTTATCTTATTTGTCAACATTGTGTCTTTAAAAGATATTTTATTTAAATACCAATTGATTATATAGCTTTTAATTTTGTAGACATATTTCCTTGTCCAAGGCTATTGGAACAAGTTTATAATGTTCCAAATACCTGAATAAGAACAGAAAAAATGCAAAAGAATTGTATGGGCTATCATTAAAGAGTGTCTCTCAAAAAACCTACAGGAACTAGATTCTAAAAAAATAAAACCCAGACATGTTATAAGTAAAAATATAAAAAGAATGAAACCTCCAAATAGTCAAAACATTTTGTCATTATCTTCTAAGTCTATGTTAAGCAAATCAGAATATTTATGTAAAACACTGTAATATAAAACTCCATTTAATATAAATTATTATTATAGTTTTTTAACTGAGCCTTACATGGCAAATGTAATACCTTCTGAATTTTTTCAGATTTAGAAATTTTATTCCTAGTATTTAATTCCTAGGAATTAATATGATGTATAAAGCACTACTGATTTATATATATATATATATATATATATATATATCACTCCCCCCAAAGCAAAAAAACAAAAACAAAAAACACAGGATCCTATGTTAACAGCATGGGATTGAATATACATTTTTCATTTTCTAGGAGTGATGATAATAACATATATACATATATATTCTCTCCTTTCAAAAAATTTTGGTTGTTGAAACTCAGACACCTGTATGTTTAATTGTTTATATTATCATAAAACTATACAATCATATACTTTTTAGATTTGGAAGAGATTTTGGAGACTATCTAGTACAATCCTTTCCCAAATCATAAATGTCATCTAAAAAACTCCTTCCCATATCTTTATTTAACAAACAATAGAAACCCCCTAGTGGTGGGGTACTTGCATTCTAGTTAGTGTAATGGAGTGTTTGATATGTTTTGTTGCCAATGTAGGTTATGTGTGTCTGCATGGGTCTGCATAGATGTGGCTTGAAGAGAGATATGAATAGATATCTTTAGAGTCTCTTCTACCCACTTTTGTCCAAGGGAGACTGATTCTTGCCAGGAGGGGAGGCAGGGGCTTGGGATCGGAGGCTGGCCACTCTCTTCTCCTCAAAAAAGGAGACTGGGCTAGAATCGTATCGATCTTTTCCTTACATGTTGATAGTCTTTTGTGGTTCAGTGGTTTTTTCAGTTGTATCTGACTCTTCATAACCTCATTTAAGATTTTCTTGGGAAAGATACTACCGTGTTTTGCCATTTCATTCTCCAGCTCATTTTTTAGACGTGAATACCGAGGCAAACAGGGTTAAATGTCTTGCCCAGGGTCACATAGCTAGTAATTGTTTAAGGCTAGATTTGAACTCAGGAAGATGAATCTTTCTGACTGTAGGCTCAGCACTTTGTCTACTGAGCTACCTAGCTGCCCATGTTAATAGTCCAATAATTTTTAGGTTTAAGCTGAGTTCTTTATTGCTGTCCCTTAATAGGAAAGGAGTAACTCAAGCTGTAAAGTCAAGGCTTTATTCCCTTCTCACCAAATACCAGTTTTGCAATGAATACATGTAACAAATAACAAATAAACTCACTTATTTGAACTGATAGCACATAATCAGAGAGAGCATACAGATGAGGATATATACCAGACAATAGAGAGTGGATGAGCTCTATCATTGGGAGTGAAATATCCTAGTTCAATCAGGAGAGTCCCAGATCTCATCCAAGAGGTAATTACACAAAAACTAATGTAGCCAGTTGGGATAGGGATATGATTGGGATCTAAACTCCTTTATACATAAGCTTATTTCTATAGTCTTTTTCTCCCTTCAAGGACTTGAGGAGAATCTGGAACCATTCATTTTTCTTGAAGGTAAAAACCAGAAAATCAGGTTCCCTGTTTTTCCAAGCTGTCACCAGATCTGCCCCTCAGCACTCATGAAGGCATGGAGCATTGCATAATCAATCTATAAGGGTGGGTGTCATTGAGTCAATCAAACATACTAGTTCATTTAAAATAATGAACAAGATGCTCTAGTCTTGAGAATAACTTAATTAAGTGGAAGCACTTCTGTCAAGTCTCACTTGTGGGGGAATGTGTTAAAGACTTTTAAATTAATTAATTAATTAATTAATTTTTAGTTTTCAACATTCATTTCCCTAAGTTTTTGACTTTTAAATTTTCTCCCCCTCCCTCCCCACCACCCACCCTAAGATGGCATTCAATCTGATATAGGCTTTACATATACATTCTTATTCACTATATTTTCACATTAGTCATGTTGTAAAGAAGAATTAGAACCAATAGGAAGAACCATAAGAAAGAAGAAACAAAACAAAACAGAAGAAAAAAAAGAGCAAATGATATGCTTCAATCTACATTCAGACTCCATAGTTCTTTCTCTGGATGTGGATAGCATTTTTCATCATGAGACTTTTGGAGATGTTTTA